GGGAGTCGGGCGAGGCCACTTCCCTTCTGCCCTGTGAGGTGCAGCGCCTCTCAGCAGACCCCTGAGCCCTGGCTTCTGGGGCAGACGTGGTGCTTCGGTCAGAGTGCTTGGGCCAGGCCCGGGGCTTGGCAGTGGTGGTGGTGGGAGGGCAGGCTCCCGCTGCACTGGGCAGAGCAGAAATGGCTTTGAAGGCAGGTGCGCCTACTCCTGCTGTTATTACAAAGCCCTTGCTGTGTACAATGGCACAGTGCTAGATTCTTCACTCATGCATCACAGCTTCAAAGCTTGGCCACCAAGGGGGCAAGCAGGTGCTGTTTCTAAGACCAGAAACCTAGGATGCATGCAAACACACACACAAAATAGGACTTGCATGTAAGTACAGGGGTGGGCAGGTGGCCCAGTGGTTAAGGTTGCAGCTCATAGGCCGCCCGGGTCCCAGGTCGGATGGAAGGCCTGGGTTCCATGCCTGGGGCCTGCCTCCTGAATCCAACTTCCTGCCCATGAGGGGCCCTGGGAGGCAGCAGTGACGGCTCAGGCAGTTGAGGTCCCTGCCAGCCATGTGGGAGACCAGCATGGAGTTCCTCCCTGCCAGCCACCTGCTTTGGCCTTGCCCAGGCCTGGCCTGTAGAAGTAGGTGAGAGTTCTATCTCTTATATACAAACAGTAGCTTTTTTTTTTCTTTTTAAGATTTATTTATTTTCATTACAAAGTCAGATATACAGAGAGGAGGAGAGACAGAGAAGAAGATCTTCCGTCCAATGATTCACTCCCCAAGTGAGTGCAACAGCCAATGCTATGCCGATCTGAAGCCAGAATCCAGGAACTTCTTCTGGGTCTCCCACATGGGTGCAGGGTCCCAAAGCTTTGGGCCGTCCTCAACTGCTTTCCCAGGCCACAAGCAGGGAGCTGGATGGGAAGTGGAGCTGCTGGGATTAGAACCGGAGCCTATATGGGATCCTGGGGCGTGTTCAAGGCGAGGACTTTAGCCACTAGGCCACGCCACCAGGCCCAAGCAGTGTTTTTAAAAGATAAGTTTATGTGGTACCCAAACATGGCTGCAGTAGAGTGTGTGTTCTTCCTGGGCACTTTGAAGACCTGCCTTTGACAGGTGAATGACAGTTCAGATGACTTGTCCAGGGTCCCAGAGCACGGAGCTGGCCCCCCGCAGAGGGGAACTGAGGCACAATGGGGCGTCCGAGCTGTACCCTGGGCCACTTTGGGAACTAGGCCCTGTCTTGTCCTGTGTCCCCTGCTTCCTTTCAACGAGGGGCAGTGCCTCACAGGTGCTCAAAACACTTTGGGGCCATGGTCCCGGCCACCCATGGCCTCATTCAGGGAACAGCATTTAGTAAGCACCACTGCGTGCATGGTCCCCCTCTGGTCCCTGGTGAGGGCATCCATGTTGCTCTCACACAGGTCCTCCCTTGCAACGCAAGTTCCCTGCTCCCCATGCAGCCCCTTGCATCCCCAGCTTGGGGCCTGACCAACTCTGTTCCCCCATACCCTTCCCCCAAGTCTCTTCTTTGCAAACCATAATGTCCCTTCCTCTGGAGGTCCTCTCAGGGCAGCTCTCTCAGTTGCTCTGTGGTCCACAGGGATGGGGGCTCGAGCTAGCCCTGTGTCTCTTCTTGTGCCAGCTCCGGCCTGCCTCATCGGCCCATGTAGCGTCCCTGTACGTGGCTCTAGTTATTGATTTTTCTCCCCTCAGCCCAGGTAGAGCAGGAATGGAAGTTGTGTGGTTGACCCCTGACACACAGGAGCCTCGGTCCCTCCAGAAGGAAGGTTTCTCTGGAGCTGCAAGGGCCCTGGCTGGTTGGGGCCCCCAAACCCTTTGCGGTCTGCCCTTGAATTCAGTCTGGGCACCAGCCCCTTGGGTCCTCTTCCCCTGCCCTTCCTGGAACCTCCTCGCCAAGGTTTGGGTCTGGTGGTTCTGTGCTCTGTCCCTGTGGCCGGTAGCCACAGGCAAAAAACAAAAGCTTGCAGCCAAACAAGCCGAACGCTCTCCCTTGCACCTGCTGGGCAGGCCCCAGCCACAAGCCGCAGGATCTTCTTTTTGTTGCCTCAGCCACTGGCTCCATATTCACTGAACCGCTGCAGAGGGCTGGAGTGGGGGCTGGAGATCAAGGACTGGGGCAGTCAGACCCCTCCGGACTTGCTGGCTGGGAAGGGTGGACACAGTCTGCCTCGATGGAGAACCCCGCCATCATCCCTTCTGGATGTGCCAAGGGGCTGCCTGCGTGTGCCAAGGTCCCGTGTTGTCGCCTCCCGGGGACCCAGAGATCATGGCCATGCCTTGATTTCATGAGATTTTCCGGCTTGGAAGTCTTGGTGGGAGGGACACTCGTTGATTCAGTCTGTTTACTGAGTACTTGCCATGGGCCAGGGCTCCCGTGCAAAGCCCTGGGGGTAGAATGGGCATTTCTGGCTGTCTAGGGGTCAGGGATGGGGAGCCCAGAGGAGGCCACGAAATCCTGCCAAAGCAGAGCTGGGCGAGCGAGAGGAAGACACAGAGGTACTTGTTGGGTTTCTTGACCCGGCTCCCAACTGCCTAGGGCAGGGCTGGGCCCAGGCTAAGCATGTGGGGCCCACGCATGTTTGTGAAATGAATGTCCGCCTTGTGGGTCATCAGTTTCTAAAAACAACGTGTGAGTCAAAGATAAAAACTGTTTTGGGGCTGTGTTGTGGTGCTGCAGTATGCTAAACTGTGGCTCGCATCTGAATGCCGGTTCAAGTCCTGGCTGCTCCACTTCCGATGCAGCAGCCGCCCATGTGGGAGACCCGGATGGAGGTCGAGGGAGGATCAGCTTCGGCCGTTGCAGCCACTTGGAAAGTGAACTAGTGGATGGAAAAGCATGCTCTTCCTCGTCGCGCTCTCCTCCCATTCAAATATAAAAACAAATCTTAAAAAGAAAATAGGACTGTTTTAACCATGTGATAATCAAAACGTTGCACAGGAAACAAAAGAAAGCTGCCAATAAGACTTGGAGGGGCATTTGTGATGTTGGCATGCTGACATTGTGGGGTGAGAGTGGAGGAAGGTGGGGAGTGCCAGAAGCGGGGAGGTGATCAGCATCATGCTCGGAGGAGGGAGGTGACACACGTGACATCGTATTCCTGGCTGCGTTGTCCCTGTTTGGACAACAGGCGTAGACCGAGGGGCGGCTGGAGCCTGTCTCAGCTGGCGGTCTTTCTCGGGTGGGGGCGTGATTTACCCATGAGTCTCTCCTGCGTTTCGGGGTCCTCAGGAGGATGGAGGAATTCGGTCTGTGAGCTTCCAGCCTCGGTCTCCTGGCGCCTGTGACAGGATCCATTTCTGCCCTGGGCACGGAGGCCGGGGTGACTGGACCGGGTCAGTGTCTGTGATCTTGGACTGGCTGCCATGAGCGTCTGCTCGTCATGGCGGCTGAGCGCACTGAGCTGGGCCTGAAGTAAGAGTGGGTCCTGAAGCGTTGATCTACAACTTCACCTGGCAGGATTGGGCTCTGGTTTGGGCAGGGGTGCTGGGGAGGGAGCCCCGCCAGCATTGGGGGACACCCTGTGGATGCTGTGCCTCCTGGGCACATCCGTCTCAGCAGCTGCTGGAGTCTACAGGAGGGACACCTTAGCCTGGCTACCCCTTTCCCCACTGGAGAAGCCCTGATGTTATGAGATCCATGTGACTGTTCAGGATATGAGGGTGGTCTGCTCACCCATCTCACAGCGGAGATGAAACCAGACCCACAGCTTGATCTTCAGACAAATCTCAACACTTTATTGTTGACCCCTAAGGCAGGGGCGGTGGGGGGATGGAGGGGTGTGGCCCCCCAGCCCGCCAGTCAGCCGGGTGATGGGGGCTGGCTAGGGTCTGACTTACATGTTCAGATAGTACTTGCAGCATGGAGCATATAGGACCAGGAAGGGAAGCAATAAGTTAAAGCCACATAAGTTATGAAAAAATAATATATACTTTACATCTCTTCTATCCCCACCAAGGGCCAGGTGCCCCTGGAAGCCCAGAAGTAGCCCGAGAAAAAGCAGCAGTCAGCACCCTTTTTTGGAACTTTGGGGGTGAGCTGGGTCCCCTCTGGCCTGAGACTCAGTAGCCCACTAGGAGGAGGAGGAGGTCTTGGGGAGCAGGGGCCAGGGGTCTCCCCAGCCCGGGGTGGGAGATAATAATGGGAAAGCCTGGGGGAGGAAGGGGAAGGAGGATGGGGCGGGAGACAGGAGGAGGCAGCAGTGGGGTCTCCCCTGCCCATCTAGGCTTCCTGCTGGCCACAGCACCTGCTCCCCTGCTGGGATTCAAGGGCTCTGACACTTGGCCTGGTGGGGACCTATGCTGTCTTCATGGCCCGCTGGAGGCAGGGAGAGCAGCTGTGCAGGAGTGGGGAAGGCTGGGAAGTGTTGCCTCAACCCTGGGCTCCTGGAAGGGATGGACAGCAACCTGGGGCTTCATGGCAGGTGTGAGGTTGCCCCAAAGCTGGGTGTTCTGGTGGGGGCTGGAAGAGGGGAGGGCCTTGGGAGACCTGTTGGGACTTGGAGGGAGGGTCTGATTTCCCTGCCTGGTTTCGAACTGTCCCAGGAATGGGACACGGCAAGAAGAGCTTTTAGAGAAGGTGCTTAGAGCTGGCTGGGTGTAACATGCCCAGGTCTGGCTATGGTCTCTTGGAAGGGACCCCCAGAGCGAGGAGGAGACGTGAAGTCCAGGTTGGCCTGAGGTCACAGACACCCCCTGTGCCCACCTCCCCTAATACTGTCAGGTGTCTGGGGAGCCCAGGTGGTGCAAAAGCCAGAGGTCAGGGTGGTGATATGTGGGTGGGCGACTTGCTCCCAGGCAGCAGGCCAGGCAAGGCTGGAGCTGAGCGAGTCCAGGGCAAGCGTGGGGCAGGTACGCCAAAGGCGCTGTGCGGGAGCCCCGAGGCAGAGTGAGAGCCTGAGACCCCAAGTTCCAGTGCACGCAGTCGGGAGAGCCTCTGGCCCCCAGACAGTGAGAAGCAATGCAGTGGCAGGGGGTGGGGGAGGTGGTCCCCGGGGTGGGGGTGCCGTGCCTCCCTCAGCCCACAGCCAAGCAGCCCCAGACCTCCTGCCATCAGCACAGGGTCAGGTTGTGGCCCCTTCTGGCTGCTTTCTTAGGTCCAGCTGAAGTCCCTCTCGCTGCAGCAGGAGTGACCTGGGAGCCGGGGCTCCGGCCACCCTACTCAGAGACCTCCGACTCCTGCGAGAGGTACTTCTCCGACATCTCCGTGATCTTAATCACATGGCCCCTGCCGTTCTTCTTCTTCCGGGTGGGGCCCTTGGAGACTCCCGACTTGGAGGCAGCTGCTGGGCACAGGGAGGGTGGGGGAAGAGAAAGTGCTACAGGTTAGCAGCCAGGGACACTTTCAGGGTCACCACGCCTCCTCCCGCTCCTCCTCGTGGGGTGTTCCCTGAGGAGCACCGACTTACCTGCTCTGGATCTGGACTGCACTGAGCTGATCACGGCAGCTGAGGGCAGGTCCATTCTGGGGAGGAATTGAGGGGAGACAGGGGCATGGTGGGAGGTGCAGGGGGCCTGGGGCTCTAACACCCTCAGGGACCAAGCCTCAAGGGCTGGCAAGTGGAAAGCGCTAGGAGGTTGCCCTGCTGTGTGGCCCTGGCCAGCCTGCCTGGCCTCTCTGAGCTCCCTTCTCTCTTCTCTGCAAACACGCTTCTCATCAGTGAGCAAAAGCAACACGGGCCAGCCCTCCCTCGTATCGCTGGAGAGCCCTGCTAAGATGAGCAAACTGGAGCATCCAACGTGCCGGGGCAAGATCCCAGTGCGTAAGTGGCCAAGCCAGAATGGGACACAGGCCTGCCCAGCTCCGCACTTCCCCCCTCCCCAACCCTGCCAGGCACCTGCTCTCCTCGCCTTCCAGCAGCTTCCTGTAGGTGGCGATCTCGATGTCCAGGGCCAGCTTGGTGTTCATGAGCTCCTGGTAGTCTCGCAGCTGCCGAGCCATGTCCTGCTTGGCCTGCTGCAGGGCGGCCTCCAGCTGGGCCAGCTTGCCCTTGGCGTCCTGGAAGGCCAGCTCCCCTTGCTCCTCGGCCGCCTTGATGTTCTCTTCTAGTTTTAGGCACTGCAGCCCGTAGGAGCACAGAGAGGGGAGTCAGGGAGGGTGCTGGTCAGGGCGGGCCAGGGATCGCCTCTGTCCCCCCCATGGGTGTGGTGAGGAGTACGAAGCAGTGGTTTTGCTTGGTTGTGGCAATGGTGCCAGACCCAAATGCACATCCTGCCAAGAGTGGAGGAAGGGCTCGAGCCTCTGTGGGGGGTCCTTGGCCAGTTGCCATTGCCGGGCCCCGGCCAGATGCCAGCTCCAGGGGCCTCCACTGCCTTCTCTCTGTGTGGCTACCAAGCCTTTTGCTGAACACGGCTCCCGTGACCCCCATTACCGCCTTGGGGGTGGGGCTTGTTCCCATCCCATCTCACAGGTTAGGAAACCAAAGTTTGGAGGTGTGAGGTGACCAGGCTGCGTGAGGCAGCCGCTCCAGGCTGCTTTCCTTCCTGCCCACCCCTGCCCAGTAGGGTCCTGCAGGTGCTCACGTGGCTCTTGGCGGAAAGGATCTGGGAGCGGAGTTTCTGGATGTGCACGTTGAGGGCAGCAATCTCGCAGCGGCTGCTCTGCAGGCTGTTCCCGAACTCTGCTGAGCGGGCCGCCCGCTCTTCCAGCTGCAGGGTCAGCCATGGAGGGAGGGCGAAGGGCAGCGGTGGTGAGGGAGGCCCCTCCTCGCCCCCAGCTCCCCCTGTGTACCCCACCACTCTCACACAGACCTGTTTCTTTCTTAACCTCGCCATGGCCTAGGTGAACTCCTGGGGTTGTGCTCCACCTGGCCTGGTGCTGTTATCGGGCACAGCGTGGGTTCCCCCTGTCCCACGCTCTCAGCCGCCCCTGTGCAGCCCCCTCTGAGAATCATGGATGCTGATCGGCAGCTATGTGGGGTGCTACTGGCCACAGCCCTTCCTGCGGCCCCAGAGCGTGGCACCAGGCAGCTCCTCCTGCCATTGGCTGTGCCATCAGGTCCCCACCTGGCTTCGCGAGTGCGCCTCAGCCTCCTCCAGGCTGCGGGCAGCGATGGCGTCATATTGCGCCTTCACCTCCTCCACGATGCCGCTCAGGTCAATGTGGCAGCGACTGTTCATGTCCAGGGTCACCGACACATCCTTCACTTGGGCGGTCAGGTCCTTCAGCTCCTGGTGCAGCACAGATGTGGGAGGCTCAGGGCTGGGCGTGGGCTGAGGGAGGGCAGGGTCCCAGGACTTCCCTCCACCACCCCCGCTCCTGCCACTCCCAGGCCTGGTATGTCCCAGAGGAGGAAGGGCTCATGCCATGTTCCCAGAGAGATGGGGGTGGGTGGCCCTACAGACTAGTGCCAAGTGAAGTCCTCTACCTCTCTGGGGATCACCAGGTAGCCAGCCCCTCTCCCCAGGCCACAGGAGGTGGCAGGGCTGGGCCAGGAGCTGGATGGTTTGTCCTTCCAGCCCTGTTGGCTGGTCTCCTGGCAGCCCCTGGCTTCAGTGCTCTCGTCAAAACCTGCAAAAGGGGTCTTTTCTTATTGATTAATAGCCCTGGGGCCTTTGCGGCCCCAGCATGGGAGGGAGGCTGAGAGGTCAACAGACCTGCCCCTGCCAGCCTTGTAGAAGGGGTGAATCAGTCATAGAGAGGGCTGGAGGCAGAGAGGGAGGCTGGTGGGCATGGGGTCTGGCAAGGGCCTTGCTGCTAGGGTTGGGACAGCACCTGTGCCCTGCACCTGCTGGCTCAGAAGCCCACCTCTTGACCCTGTTTAAACCATCAGATTGTGGTCGGTGGGCCCAGCTGGCTGACTGGCTTGCACTTCGTTAAATACGGCCCCATCAATGTTTCCTTTCCTACCCGCATAGCTTTGAAACGGCCTGGTACCAAATCTCCTCTCACCTCTGACTCCCTATCTCGTGCTGGCTGTCTCGCACCGTGGACTTCATGGGTGCACCTGGACCCCGAGAATGGGGCTGCTGGTTCTGGAGGCCTCCTCAGACCCAAGTCCAGCTGCCTGGTTTGGGACGGCTCCCTGATCTCAGCTCCTGACGTGGGACCCCTCCTGAACCTACGTCTACCTGCAGGCTCACAGCGGATGCTCTGGTTTCTGCCTCCTCCAGTGGCCCGTGTACCTTGGAGCGGCGGGTACAAGATGATGGTTGTCGCACGGGCTATTGCCTGCTGGCAAGGAAGGGAAACTGCGCAGTGGTGGTGGGCATTCAGAGCCCCTCTGGGGGCAGCAGGCTTCTACTCTGGGGCTGATAGGCCTTTTGGGGGTTTCCCATTAGGGCATCCCGGCTGGGGGGGGTCTCCCATTAGGGCATCCTGGCTGGATGGTGCGTGAACTTAACAGAAGCAGGTGCAGCCCTGACTCCCTCCAGCATCACATGGGACCATGGTCCTTATTCCTGCTGCCCCCAGGAACAACACTGCCATCTCCACCTGGAGCTGGCATGGCTAGGGACCACTTTAGAGTTGCCACTTCGTGGTTTCCTGGTTGATGTGTTGTGGGGCATCCTCCAGAGAATTCTCAGGGCACATGCAAGTTCGGGCCTCATCGGGCAATAGCAAGTTGTCCAGAGGGACACTGGGATGCAGCTTGGGGCTTTCCTTAGGAGCCAGGACACAGAGCAGGCTGGGGCTTATGTGACCAACTCCTGCGGCATTTCCTGTGTCAGAAGGGGACTCTAATGGGCTCCTGAATGCTGGCTAGCGGAATGCAGCAGCTGATGGCACCAGACATCACCCCCATCCCAGCTCCGTCAGGTTGTCAAGCTTTCTCATCTGTGAAATGGGTATAATTGGAAACCCAGAAACAGCGAGGGTTTATATAGCTCCCACCCTATGCCAGTCGCAGTTCTCAATGCTTTAGGAGATGCTAGCAGTACAAAGTCCCCCAACAGCCTGGTGAGGCAGGCACTGGTATTCTGTCCACTATACAGGTGAGGAAACGGAAACAGGAAGGTTTCAAAGAACCTGTCCCAGTATACCGAGTTACGGAGCCAGCGTTCACGCAGTCAATTGCTCAAAACTCAGTGCTGTTTTCATCACTCCTGCTTCGTGGGGTTGTGGGGATTAACTGAGATTAGCCCAGAATTTAGCAGGTGCACAGTAAACAGTAAGGGGGCTGGCTGTTTGCCTGGCGGCGAGGCTGCTGGTTCACACCCTCATCCCAGAGCGGAGAGGGCTTCTGCGTGAGGCCTGGCTGTCTTCCTGCTCCTGTGGGAGGCAGCAGATGATGGCTCAAGCACTTGGGTCTTTGCCACGCATGTGTGGCTCTCGATCAAGTTCTGGGCTCCTGGCTTCAGCCTGGCCCAGCCTCAGCAGCTGCTGTGGGCATTTGAGAAATGAACCAATGGATGAGAGCTCTGTCTGTCTCGCTCTTTCTGCCATCTGTCTAATGACAAAGACAGAAGCAAGTAATTTCAGCCAGTAACTGGTGAAGATGCTGAAGCTGGAAGTTGTATTTTGTTTTTGTATTTGAATTTGTATTTGTTTTGAATAAATTGGGCTAAACAATATGCATGGTTAAATATTACCCTCTCTCCTATTTTTTTTTTAAGCAAATGTGGCAGGTAGGGGTGGGCGTTTAGCCCAGTGGTTAAGATGCCTACATCCCACATTGGGGTGCCTGGGTTCAATACCCGACTTGAGCTCTGGACTCCAGCTCCCTGCTGGCACAGACCCTAAAAGGCAGTGTTGATGGCTCAGGATATTGGGCTCCCACATGGGAGACCCAAGTTGAATTCCTGGTTCCTGGATTTGATACTAGCCTGGTCTGTTACTGTGGGCATTGGGGGACAGCCGATGACAGCTCTCTCTGGACCTGTCTCTCCGTAAAAGAAATGGGACAGCCAGAAAGCTTCAATTCCCATCTGTGGCTCATGGTTCTAGCATACAGCGCTGGTATAGACGGGGTGCAGAGGTTTTGTAGCCAAGGGCTGGGGTGGCCTTCTCTGTCACCTGGCTGCTTTCAAAGGTCCCAGTGCCTCTGGTGAGGTCAACCCCACATCCTCCCGTCCAATCAAAGAGGAGTGAACATAGCAGGACAAAATATTGCACCTGTTCTGAGAACCCAGAGACCTGGCTCTTGTCACTCTTTCCTAACCAGTTCAGTGTAACACCCCCCTCTCTCTGCAGGTCAAGTCCATGGTCTCGGGTGCTAGAAGTGGAGAGGTGGGTAGGGCTAGCCAGTCTCTGTGTCCATGAGCGGGGTCAAGGGTGGCTTCAGAAACACTGGCCGCACTGATGTCTGCCTTGACCGCACCCCTCCATACCTCTCACAGCAAGCTGATGGGCACGGTTCCCTGGCTGGAACCCTGCCCGCCTCCCCGTGGGCTTGCTTGGCTGTGGAGGGCTTGGCTTGAGACAGGCAGCTTTGCAGGGAGCTGGGCTGGTGTGGACGGTGTGCCTGCTTGCCCATGTGTTCTCTGTGCAGTGGTACCTGCCAGGGCCACAGCCTTCCCCTCCTCCCGGCCGCGAGGACCTCTAAGGGGTTACAGAGAGAGAGACTGGAGCCATCACTATGGCTGCTTGAAGCTCCTGGGCTGAGGCCAGGCTCCCACTCCCTGCCTGGTGCACCTGCTGCCACAAAATGAGTCCAAGGTGATATGTGGGATTGTGGGCAGCAGGATGCTTAGGACATCGTGAGTACTACAGGTTCCATGCCTTCTCTCCGCACACCCTCCCCTGGCCCGACTCGATGCTTCCTTGCCTGTGGTGGGGTCAGCCCCGAGCTACACAGGACAACGGCTCTATGTCACATACTTGCTCATAGATGGTCCTCATCAGCTCCACGAAGCCCTGCAGGCCTTTGAGCTTGGTCTCCAGCTCGGTCCGTCGCAGACATTCCGTGTCCAGGTCCTAGGGTTGGGGAGATGGGATGAGTACGGATAGAGCGATGGAGTAAGAGTGGGTGTGGCTCCCAGAGGCGATGGGGGCCTGGGAAGGGAGTGGCCTGTGGCCAGGGCTGTCTGCTGGCCCTGGAGACGAGCCTCTGAGGCCGGCTGGCACGGGTATAAAGGACAGCAGGCGGCCCTGAGGGACAGGGCCCGGGGCCCTGTGGGAGGAACCTTGGGGCGGGCTGACGCTACCTTCTTCAGCTGGACAAAGGTGAACTCCAGGTCTGTGCGCTTGGAAATCTCCTCTTCATACCTGGGTGGGAGAAGCAGGGTGGTAGGTGGCTCAGCAGGACGTGGGGTGAGGAGGGCAGAGGGGCCTGCTGACCTATCCTGGGTGGGGCTCACTGCTTCTGCCACCCCACCTGGGGCCTGGGGCCAGTGAAGAGAGTAGCCCTTTCTTCCTTTGTGCAGGGGCGCTCCTCTGCTGTGACACCTGACACTGGCCCCCTGTCCTCACCCCCTCCTGCTCAGCCCCTCTTTCCTCTCCTATCTTTTCTTGCCTACATATGCCTCTTCCAGGAAGCCTCCCCGGATTGTACAGTGTTTACACTCATCACTCTGCTTGTTCATGTTGTCCCTACCTCTGCCCTCCTGTTCCTCAGATTCAGGCAAGCTGGGCTTGGCTATTGCTACTCACAGTTCACCTTCTCCCTCCTCCCAGCCTTCCCTGCCCTATCCCTCCTTCTCCTTGCTTTGCTATGACGGACCTTGTCCCAGCTGGTTCCCTCGTAAGGGACAGTAAGAAGAGCTTGGGGTTTCCTGGCAGACCTATAAGGTGTTGAGGAACCCTACTTTCCTCCCTTCTCGTGTGTGTGTGTGTGTGTGTGTGTGTGTGTGTGCTGAAGCCCACCTCGGATGCACACAGCCATATTGCATAGTAAAGTTTGGCAGCTTCCTTCCCCGTCTGGCCAGTTCTTTACTCAAGGCCTTTGGGTCAAGGACATTACTTGATGGGATGATGTGTGTGTGGTGGTGGGGGGTAGGGGCTGGACCCCCAGGTCCCAGGCTTCACACTCAAGATGCTGTTTGGCTTCACGGGGTGGGGGTGGGGTGTCTGCTGGCCTTGACAGCCATGGGGGTTCCCTGCCTTGCGTTTCCCTCCCTCCTCTCCAAGAATGCCTTAATCACTGGCAGCCCTAATTACAGCCGCTGGCCCGCCCTGGGTCCTGACCTCACAGCAGTAGGGACCGCGTCCCTCTGCCCTCTGGAGCACACCTTCCCTGTTGCCTGACTGTGCCTGGCTTCCGCCGGTCGCTGAGGGCTGTGGGGGTGCTGGGGAGATGCTGAGCTTGCGGTGAGGGGGTGCTGTGGCTGGAGGGCGAATGCCAGGGCAGGTGCACCCCTCAGCAAGCCTGCATCTGTAGACTGTGGGTTGGGAGAGGGGCGTCATCTTTTATGGGGAGGGGCTTGGGAGCCCTGCGTGGGGTGCACAATCCTGGCTTCCTTTCTGAGAGGCCTCAGTGAGCCCCCATGCATGTCTGGGACTTGGGGAGGCAGTCGGCTGAGGCTCGTGGCCCCCACGGTGATGCGTGGTGTTCTCTGCAGCTTGGCGCTCTCCCCCACTGCCGTGGCTTCTGATGCTGTGCACACTGAGCACCAACCCTTGGGGATGGCCGACCCCAGCAATCGTGGTGGTGGCAGGGGGCCGCCCTGTGCAGGCCTGGGTGCCATCTTCTTCTGTCTTCCTGTCTGAACGGCAGAGTCCCACCAAGTGCCCAGCCCCCTCCTCGCCCTTCGCTGTCTGTCCGCTCTGATCTCAGGTTGGCACTCTTCCTGCCTTCCTCATCAGATGCCCTCATTTTTTACTTGTGTGGGGGCCTGCTGCCCCTTGAAAAGCCTTAGGAGGGGAACCCCTGGCCTGGGACTGGGGCTCCCCACCCCCCTCAACCTGCAGGGGGGGAAGGTGGAGAACAGTGGGGGGGCTGGGCCAGGGTGTGGAACCACAGGACCCCTCACCCCACACCAGCCCCCATCATCACAGCAGCCTGCCCAGGGGTGGTGGTGGGAGTGGGCTGCGGACAGCTAGGCCTTGAACCTCTCTGACCATGCTGTAACTCACTGAATGGCTTGCACAACTGCCAGTGGCATGCCTGAGTCATTTGCTGTGTGACTTTAGGCAAACAGCCTGCCCTGGCTGGGCATCTGTATTGGCCTTGCTCCACTGTGGGGTTAGGCCAGCCCATTCATGGGGTCCCTGCTACCCACACGATGCCCCACCCTTCCAATACCATCCTTGGCTCTGCCAGCTATGGCGGCTACGGGGTACTCCGACAGCCTTGAGGCCTCTTTGGGTTCCTCCAATGCCCTCCCAGGGACTCCCTTCCCCACTTTGTTTATTTCTGGGAGACTGATCTCATCCACCCTCCCTGTGGGGGGCCTGGCAGTCCCTCCTTGGCAGGGCTCCGCCCTGGGGCGTCTCCCAGCCCCTGGGGGGGGCCCAGCTGGGGGCGGTGGTAGGGGAGATGGTGGAGCCTCCAGCCTAGCCAGAGAAGGGGAAGAGGGGAAGAGAGGCCCCCAGCCTCTGGCAAGTGAAGCCAACCAGCAGGCAGGCAGCAAGCCAGGCGAATGGGCGGAGCCAGGTGAGAACAATGTGTGGCATTTGCACAGAGCTAGCAGTGGCAAAGTGATCTGGCTGGGCGGGTGGCTGGCCGAGGAGGTTCGGGGTGGGACGTAGCGTGCCTGGCTGTGTGACTAAGGACCAGCCCTACCCTCTCTGGGCTCGGTTACTTCTCCATAAAAGGACGACCCAGGAGTCCCCGTTCCCCCCCCCCCCCCGCCCCATTCAGCCCTTTGATGGCCAAAGACCTTTAAGGGATGAGGAATCAGGTGAGCTGACTTGATTTTCCTTGTCCGGGTCATGGTCAGGCACTGGGGAACTTGAGATCAGGGCGGGCAGGGCTCCCAGAGAGGGGATGTGCAAACTGAGCTACGGCCCCAGCCCTCACACACCTGCCCAGCCTGTCCCAGTCAGTGCCGCAAACCTGTGGCAAGGCCCTGCCGTGCGCTGGGAACACCAGTCCTCCAGGGTGGGAGAAGGCTGCTACTTGACATCTCCAGGCCCCGAGCGGGAGCTGCCCACTTTCTCCTTGGAACCCAGCCACCACTGCCCTTCTTGTGGGAGCAGTGCGGACATGAAGCACCTGGTGCAAGGTGTGTGTGAGGGCCAGGACTCAGCCGTATGCTGCCCTTGCCCCCGCCCGCCCCACTTCTCTGCCTGCCCCCCAGAGCTGTCTTTTCCTTTTCTCTTTAATTGCTGGTTCCCTTCATGTCCAGGCATGTGGTCACCTCAAGAGGACACTTCTTTATTCCCATGAAATCTACCTCTTCTGGACCTTCATGGCACCCTGGATGTCTCTCTGCCTTCCAGCTCAATCAAGATGAAAATTGCAAGCCACGTCCCCAGCAAGGATCCTCTGTGTTGTTCCAGCTGCGGTGACATAATTTCCCTGCCAGGCAGGCGTGTGGGCAGGACCCAGCGTGTTTACAAGTTCGCGAGGAAGGGGATGCAGCTTGCAGAGCACGGAGACCGACTGTGCTAAAGGGGTCTCTTGGAGGCTGTGGCCGCGGGTTCATGGCCATGTGCCTTCCACCATGGTGTTGTGCCTGTACGCAGCATCTGGCGTATGCCTAGGTCTTGATAGAATTACTTTGATTGGGCGTCTTTCTTTCTCAGGCTTGGGTGCCTTCTGCCCCAGGACTGCTGGGTGCCCCTGCTTACACCCTCAGGCTCCCAGTCTCGCCCTACCCCCAGATGCCCCTACCTGATTCGAAACTCCTCGACCTTTTCCAGCACCTGCAGCAGATTGGCCTCCAGCTGGACCCGCTCTTGGCTCACCGCACGCAGCTCGTCCTGCAGCCGGCCCTGGTACTCCTCGTAGTGGTGGCCAAGATCGAACGTGGTGGGGTCCTGGCCCTGTAGAAAGCTCCAGCGTGTTTCCAGCAGCTGGTTGCGCTGCTCCAGGGCCTGCACCTGGGAGAGTAGGAGGGCGTTGAGTGGGTCAGATGGGGACCCGCAGGTGTGCCCCGCTGGGGGCCTTCCTGGGAGTGGGCAGCTCATCTGTGCACGTCCACCCGGGACTCTGTGCTGGGAGTGCACCTCCCGTGACACACCGATCCTCTACAGGTGCCAAACTAGCAGAGGCTCTGACAGGCAGAGCCAATCAGCAGGGCTTTCTAGGGGAAGGCCCGGCCTGCGGGCTGAGGGAGGGGGGCCCAGGGTGCAGGAGTGCCTGGCAGGCTCTCCATGGCTCCATGGCTCCACGGCTGTTTGTCTGGGCTGAGTAAGGATGGGGGACTCCAGGGACAAGGGCTGTCGCAGGTGCATCTGCTCGCTTCTGGCCTCAACAAATCTGATCTCGCGCTGCCTTTGGAGAACTCGGGGTCCACTTAGCACTCAAGTGAGGAGTTTTCCTCCCCAAACCCCCGTTTTCACCACTGGAGCCTCAGTTTACATAGCTAGAACAAGCCCTGAAGTCTGTCAGGGGGAAGAACCTGTGAGCTGCTTTGGTGCAGTGACGGTAGGTAGCAAACACTCATGTGACGCCAACTGTGTGCGGGCCTGGCTGTACATGCTTGTCACCTTTAGCTCCAGTCAATCCCTGCAGCCACTCGTGTCAACATCAACCCGTGTTTTATACACGACCAAGTAGCGCGAGCAGCAGCAAAGAACTTGCCCACAGTGGTAAAATTAGCATGAGGCAGAGCCAGGCCTAGGACGCAGGCAACTGGCCCCTGGAATCTGGGGTGCTCCGTGGGCTCCGTATCTGGGGTTGGGCCCCTTGTGGGACTCCCAGTGGCCCAACCTGGGCTTGCTTTGCCTTTTGGGTACTGCCTCTCTCCTGCTCTGTCTCCCCCATACGCCTCTCCTTGTGCAGGGGCTCCTGTGGCAGTCAGGGTCCCCCATGCACCCCAGCCTCCCTCAGCAGTTCTTCCTCACACCATCCCTCTGTCCCCACCTGTAACTCCTAGCACCGCCCGCTATAGGAAGCCCTGTTGGCGCATTCAGAGCCTGAGATTCACCCCCACCTCTTTGGTACCAAGGTGCCCTCTGTGTGTCCCGAGCCACAGACAGGCTGAGTCCTCTGCCCCTTGGCTCCCCAGGCCGTGGTAGCCGCTGCAGTAAGAAGGGAGGGCTGGGGCTTGTCGTTAGGATGCTAGGCCACTGAGCCACAGGTGTTCCCTGCAGCCACAGCGGAGCGACTGGGCCTCTTTCCCGCCCTGGCCAGGCTTCCAGTGGGCATCTGTGCCTGGAGCAGCAGCTGGAATGGCAGCCTTCTGGGCTAGTGCCCTGTGCATTGGCAATGGGGGTGAGTGACACGGTGGGCAGATGACCTGCCCGGGGCCTCCTGCTGGCCAAGCTTCCCACATGGGCCCCTGTTTACTTTGTGCCTCCTCAAGTGGGTGCCGGGAAGGGGGTCTCCCCCCAGATAGGTTGTTGAACCTGGGAAGCCCCCTGTGATATTCATAGCAAGGATGCTGGCATCTGTCTGTGGGCCTGCCAGCCCCCTTAGGGCTTCCTGTTGGCTGCCATCACTTGCAGCCAGGCGGGTTCAGTAGGAAGGGAAGTCCGAAGGAAGGGTGCCCTGCTTTGTGTTCAAGAGGGAGCGTTGCAGGGGGAGGCCTCCGCTCACCCCACCTCGCCCCTGTTTTGACAAGCAGAACCCCATGTTTACACTGAGGGTGGGGTGAGAAGAGAGATGGGAGGTTCCTTCCTCAACTAAGAGCAACAGCAAAGCCTTCACACTGGGAAGTTCTTCCCATAGTCTAACCTCGATTCTGTGTGTGTGTGCTACAGCGCTTAACCTGATGATGTGGCTTTGGGCAGCTGGTCCAGTCGCATGGCACTTATGGTCTTGGGACACTAGGAGCAGCGCCCCCTTCAGGTTCCTCCCTCTTGGAACAAAAACCCAGTGAATCCTGTACCTGGAGAGGTGCAGAATGGTTGCTAAGCTGCCGTTCCTCTCCCCTTCTCCTCCTCTCTGCTCTGGCCGGAGCCCCTGCCTTAGATGCTGCAACCGCCACTGGACGAGGAGCCCATGTCTGCCTCATCTGTCTCCCCATTTTACAGATGAATAAACTGAGGCCTGGAGGCCCAGGACTGACTTGGTGGCATTGGCCTGCCCAGGCAAGAGTCCTGTGGGAGTGACAGAGTTTTTGTAGGACAAACTGAGTGGGCCAAACCGCAACCCCTGGCCACTGAGGCAAGGAGGAAGCCGTCCTTCTGGGAGGGTCCAGGCCCCTAGGTCTCCAGGGCGCCCCTCTGGGCCATGCAAGGTAGATTCCCTGGGGAGGGGCCTCAGCTCCATTCCCTAGGGAGCCCCCTAGGCTGGCCTGCAAGGGCTGGTGTTTTTTCCCGCCCCCCCCCTCTTCTTCAAGGCTCCCCTGCTACAGTCTGCCCGGCCCCACCTTGTACTGTCCTTCCTCTTGTCAGCCCTGCAGCCGCCCTGGGCACGGCCCTCTCCCAGTCCTGCTTGCCTTCCTTTGCAGTTCCCCATCCCTCACTCCGAGTCCTGGCACCACAGAGCATAGCAGAGTGGTGGAAACCAAGGCACAGAGAGGGTGTCTTGCCCAAGGAGGCACAGCTGCTGGGGGGAGGAACTGCTTCAGAGTCTCCCTCCTCTTGAATCTCTCCCCATGTCCCTTCCTGCGTCTTCCTCCCCTTCCTCCTGGGTGTTCCCTGATGTCTCCAAGCCCAGAGGAGGGTATGCTGGAGCTGGGTCACCCTCTCCCTCCGCTCTCTTAGTCCAGAACCCGCTCCCTGCACTGGCCATGCATCTCACACCTGTGCTGTGCGCCCACCCACCAGGGACCTCCCCTCCCAGGTTCCTGCTTGGAGGTGGCTAATGGGGTTTAAGGAGGATTTCCCTGAGTTGCTGTCTAATTATTTTGATGTATTCAGTAGCCAAGGAGTGCCACAAGACACCACAGACCAGCAGTGTTCTAGCTGCTTTTCCCAAACGACCCCATTCCATTCCCACAAGCACATTCCAGCCAAATGTGTTCAGGCCCAGAGAGGTTGGGTGGTTTCCTTGAGGTTGCTCAGCTATGGAGCAGCCATCATGCTGCTGCAGATTTCACATTGGCTGCTGGCTGTCTGCCCGCTCCCCCTTCCCTTCCTGCTCCCCACCTCCTATCCCTTAGGGCTCTCACAGCCTAGATGCAGAGGGATAGGGGCTAACAAAGTTCCCACCCCCCATGGAGTTGGGGCTCTGTGGAGCTCCTGGGGCAATGGCCCCTAACAGGCTGGTAACCATGGCTCCCTGAGTCCCGCCCTGAGGGTCTCCTCCCTGTGCCTGCTCCGGGGCCCCAGCACCGGGCCCCAGCACTGGGCCCCAGCACTGGGCCCCAGTACCGTGGCAAGTGGCCCAGACTGATACCAACATTGGCAGCGTAGGGAGCAAAGCCACCCACCACCTGAGCTGGAAGACACGGCAGGTCTCCCTTGGAGTGAATCAAAGCCAGGTGTGTTCTCTGCACACACTCATTTTCCCACTCTGCCTGCCTCCTCCACCCCAGCCTGGGCACCCTCAGCATGGAGACAAAGATTCCCATCTTGGCATAGGCAGAGGGCAGTGTCCACCTCAGAGATGCAAGTTCAGATCCAGACCGTGCTGCTTGCTGGGCGGCTAACCTCTGTGGGCCTGGGTTTTCTCACGTGCACAGGGGTTGGTGGTGGTGGTGGTAGGGGAAGTAAGAGTTATGGCAGTGTTGCCCTGCGGGTTGCTACCTGCCACAGAGGCTAGGGCCTGTTGCCCTCCTCCTCCCACTGCCCTGCATAAGTCTCTCCTCCCCACCCCCTCCAGGAGGAACAGGCACACTGGCTGAGATGCAGGAAGCTGTCTGCTTTCGTAGCAGTGCCTGCATAAGGCTTGGCATGAAGCAGGCAGGCAGCAGCAGTGGCGACCCTTGGTCGGGGAAAGAGATGGACATAGGTGCCCTGTGGCTGGTTGCAGGCCCCGGATAGGAGGGAGTGCAGGACATGTAAGGGTTGGGGCGCCGGGACTAGGTCCCTATGCTTCAGGGGGGAGTTTGAGACAGCCTAACGTGGACCAGAAGCTTCTCCACTCTCCCACCCTCCCTGCCTCCACTGCAGCCCCACACCTCCTGGGGCCCCACTGCGACTTCTGAGCAGGGCTGCTTTGAGTTCCAAACCTTAGCAGGTCATGGGCACACAGGTTCCTCCTTGGTCCTCACATTGGGGGTGGTGGGTGGGCGATCTCCCCCCCTCTCACGCCTCCAGCTCACACTGGCGCGTTCTTACCCAAACAGCCTCTGAGGCTGGCCTGTTGCCCCCTGCCTGGCATCTTTACGCTGCCCAGGTTAGCAGCTTTGTCATTGGCTGCGGGCAGGGGCGGGGCCCCCGACTCAAGCTTTGGAAGGCAGAGCCTAGCCACCTGCCTCCGGGGGTGCCAGGCAGCCCTGGGCTGAGGCTCCGGACCCCACTCCAGTCCTTGCTGCAGCTCACCTTGCCAATGAGGGAGGCGAATTTGTCATTAAGCACTTTCATCTCCTCCTTTTCCTGGTTCTTCTGCTGCTGGACGGCTGGGTCGACCTTGAGGTCCAGGGGCACCAGCAGGCTGGGGTTCACGGTCACCTGCGGCATGGTGCCGGTTGGCCAGCAGCCCGTGAGGCTGCGGGAGCTGAACCCCAGCCCGGAGTCCCCGCATCGGCTCCATCCTGAGGTTCCAGGCCGGGGGCTGCCTGCCGAGGTCACCTCACAGTCGCTGTTGAAACCAACGACGCAGGAGCGGCAGGCCATGGCGCACCCCGGCCCGGCAAGCGGCAGGGCCCAGGGGCGAGCGAGCGAGACTCAGACGGGTGGTGGCGGTGGGCTGTGGGCTCCTGTCGCTGCCAGGGCAGGTTGGCGACTGAAAAGCAAACACCTGTCGCACAGTGCTCATTACTGCGGGAGGGCGGGGCGCCTCGCAGCCTGACCAACCTGCTGGATGCTGTGGCGTGCCTGCCCCGCCCCCAGCACCTCGCGGCATCTCCCGCCCCGAAGCTGCCTGCCCCGGGGGAAGCTACCTGTCCAAGGGGGTGCTGGTTGCAAACCCCGACCTCGTCGGGCTGGGCCCAGGGAGGGGGCCTGAGGCTGAGCTGACTGGATGTTTTCGGGGGTGGGGAACTCCAAGAAGAAGAGGAGAGCGCGTGAGCGCGTGCCTCTGGCCGCAGACCTTGCCACATACCTGCAAGGTGACGCATCCGGGCTTGCATACTTCTGGAAAAGATGAGGCCAGCCCTGAGCTCTTAGTGTAGGGCAGCTGTTACGGGGCACTGTGCCAGCCTGGCCCTGGAAAACAGCACCTTTATTCTCCCTGCCCGAGTCTCCTTGGCTTATCTCCCCCGACCACACACACACACACACACACACACACACACACACACACACCCTTCTTTTCCCTCTTCCTGACTTCTCGCTGTTGTTTGTTGAGAACCCACTGTGTGTTCCCCTCAGTCTCAGAAGCGGCTGGGAAATGGGTGGTGGAGGCTTGGAGTCCTTGACTTTGGAAAAGAGAGGGGTCCAGGTTCCAGCTTGGCCGATTGTCTCTGGCGTGACCTTGGACAGGCCAGTTGATGTTTCAAAAACATTTTTTATTTATTCTCATTTAAAAAAATATATATATTTTTTAAATTGGAAAGGCAGTTTTACAGAGAGATTTTCCAGTTGCTGGTTCATTTTCCAAGTGGCTGTAATGGCAGAAGCTGAGCCAATCTGAGGCCAGGAGACAGGAGCTTCTTCTGGATCTCCCACATGTGTGCAGGGTCATCCGCTGTTGCTGTCCCAGGTTATAAGCGGGAAGATGGATTGGAAATGGAGCAGCTGGGATTTGAACCAGTGGCCATATGGGACACCAACACCATGGGTGGAAGTTTAACTTGCTACTCCATGGTGCCAATCCTATTTATTTTCATAGTGAAAGGCAGAGAGAGAGAGAGAGAGGAGAGAGAGAGAGAGACACTGTCCATCTGGTGGTTTACTTCCCAAATGACTGCAGTGGCCAGGGCTGCTCAGACCAGAGCCAGGAACCAGGAGCTTCATTTGGGTCTCCCCTACTGGTGGCAGAAGCCCTCGGGCCATCTTCTGCTGTTTTCCCAGGTGCCTGGCAGGAGGTTGGGTGGGAAGTGGAGCAGCTGGGACTGGAAACAGCACTGTATTTGATATCACAGGTGGTGGCTTAACCTGTAACACCTCGTGCCAGTCCGACCTAGGTGACTTGACTTTTGTGTTACAAAGTGGGGGTGAGAAGGCTTCACTCACAGGAGGAGGTGTATGGGAAGTCGCTGCGGGTGGGCTGAGGGCAGCTGGCCCAGGGGCGGGGCCTGCAGCGGAGCTGTCAGCATCCCCTCAGCTCTGTGGCTTGGAGACCATCCCCGCTGCCTTCTGCCTACCTCCTACTCCTCCTTTTACTGGTACCCCTGGATCTCTTGAGTGCCAGTAGGCAGTTTCCCTACCTGAGGTACTTCCAGTTGACCCCCAGCTTTCCAGGTGGAGCCCCTGGGGTCTAACTGCTCTGTGTATTCTTTCTTTTTTTTTAATTTTTTTTAATTGGAAAGGCGGATATACAGAGAGGAGAGACAGAGAGGAAGATCTTCCGTCCGATGATTCACTCCCCAAGTGAGCGCAATGGCCGATGCTATGCCGATCCGAAGCCAGGAGCCTCTTCCAGGTCTCCCACGTGGGTGCAGGGTCCCAAAGCTTTGGGCCGTCCTCCACTGCTTTCCTGGGCCACAGGCAGGGAGCTGGAAGGGAAGCGGGGCTGCCGGGATAGAACCGGCGCCCATATGGGATCCCGGGCATGCAAGGCGAGGACCTTAACCACTGTGCCACCGCGCCGGGCCCGCTCTGTGTATTCTTGTGGTCTGAGATGGAAGGGACCAGGGAAGAGAGATCTGAGAGTGGTCTCTTGCTATCCACATTGTCCATCCTTCCCACACACTGGTCATTCAGGACCACTGGGACTCAGGGCCCTAGTGAGGCCTCAGGAGCCCAGAGCTGCCACTGCTGCCCTCCTCTGCTCTACACCAGCTGCCCGACCCACCTTGCCTCCTGGCTTGGTATCTGGATGGCGTATTGTCAGATCTGGCACTCTGATCTCCCCTGTGCCAGTCAGCGTTGGGGGCATCCCCAGTGCCCAAGCAGATAGAGAGGACGATATCCCCTGTGTTATTGAAAGATGCACCCCCTTTCTCTTCGCCACAAGCTTAGGTGAGGGGATTACACAGCAGGAAGCTGGGGGGGCTGCGGGCCTGGCCTCAGGCCCCATGATCCGTGTAACAGAAGTGGACTTGCCCCAACACTTGGAATGCCAGTTCTTCCTGTTATCTTAGTCCCTGAGTTTTAAATTATTATTATATTAAAACAGATTTATTTATTTATTTATTTAAAGGGCAGAGAGAGAGAAACTTCCATCTGCTGGTTCACTCCCCAAATGGCCCTGGTGGCTAGGGAGGGGCCAGGCTGAAGCCAGGAGCCAGAAGCTTCCTCCAGGTCTCCCATGAGGGTGGCCGGGACCCCTGCTGCTCTCCAGGGTACGCATGAGCAGGAAGCTAAGATGGAAGCAGAGTGGAGACTAGATATTTCCCTATGGGGTGCAGAGGTGCCAAGCAGCAAATGTGCTAAGTGCTTGCTCCAGGCTTGAGGTCTGGGCCAGCCAAGGAGGCTGCTTAGGGTGGTCGCTCGGCCCGGTTCCCATAAGTGCTCCTGCTGGACTTCTTGCTGGAGCTGCCGGATAGCTTGCAGTGAATTGCTGAATCCTGGGCACCCAGGCCAGGCTTGAGGGTTTGTTTCTGAGCCCTGAGCACCCACCCGGATGGCTTTTCCTGTGGGAGGAATGGAGACTTGCTGCCCTGGGGTTCCAGCCGGGGTGGGGCTGTGAGGCTCCCACCCCCCGGTGGTGGAGGCTCCCCAGGGTGCAGTTGGTGGAGATGGCTGTCAGCTCCAGCTGCCGAACTGGAACAGCAGCAGAAAAGCCCAAAATAAACAAAACTGCTCCCCGCCCAGCCCTGCCTCCCCTGCCTCCTCCTGCCTCCTCCCCTGCCTCCCCTGCCTCCCTTGCCTCAGCCCCCTGCTCCTCCCCTCCCTAACTCCTCCAGGTCTCCCTTCACCCCTTGGCAGGACAGGGTGGGAGGGGGTACTGTGGGGGGTTCATGAGGCTCTCCACTCTCCCCCAGGACATGCTTTCTGGCAAAGAACCCCAACCCACCTAGGGTTTCAGCTCCTAGGGAAGCTGGGGGTTAGGGCCTCTCTGGGGATGTTCAGGCTGGGGGCAGGGGATAACCTGCAGTTACTAACACACAGCCTGCTGGGCCGAGGCCTGCAGGTGGATCTGGGAGACTGTAGCTGGAGATGGCTTTTGGGCATCTCATCCTGTCTGTGTTGTTCTTTCTGTGGCTAGGGGCTGAACCTTCCCCAGTCAACCCGGCTTCCCTGATCAAAAGGCAGAGGCTAGGGGGCTTGGATGAGGGGTGGTCCTTGTGCAACGGGCGCCTGCTCCTCTTTCCTCCATGTCTTCTTCTGCATCAACCCCTCCTGGTGTGTGTCTCCCTTGCCTCCTCAGCCCCCTTCTTGCTCCATGCTTTCCGGTCTCTGGGCTGTAGCTCTCAGAGTCTCCTGCCCACACAGGCAGACCTGGCTCCGTCAGCCCTGGGGGAGGAGAGGAGAGGTGTCTGGGTCACCACCCCCCCAACTACCTGGTGATGGCCTTATGGGAATGGCATCCCAGTGTCACAGTTTCATCGCCTCCTCTCCGCCCTGTTCCCCGTTTGGCTGGTGGAGCGGCAGGTCCCCCAGGCCATGGTGGTGATGGTGGCAAGACATAGCTGCTGGATGAATGTTCCAGTTGGCACATCCTGGCTAGACTCAACTTTTCTTGGGGAGAATACAGCTCTGCAGGGGAGAATCTCAGCCCTGGGGCCACTCCTCCAGGAAGTCTTCCTGGAGATCTGGCTCAAGTCCCTGGTACCCTCTCACCTTCTCTCCCGAATGCCTAACCAGCTTCCCTTGCTGGTGAGGCTAGAGGCTCCCACACTGTTTTTTTTTTCTAGATTTTCCTCATGAGCAGGGCTGTGCTGAGGAGCCAGGTCTAGGGAGACATGCTGTACTTGCGGGCTGTGTGGTAGGAGGCTTTTCGGGACGGGGGTTGGGGGCTTGAACAAGGTCAAGGTCAAGAACAAGGGAGCTAATGAGAAGGAGGACTCAGGCTTTCTCCCCTCTCCCCCACACCCAGGGAGGCCCCTTTGGTGTTGATCCCTTGTTCCGGGGCCACAGGACATATCCTCATTGTCATAGGTAGAGGAGGGCTAAGGGATGAGGGCTGGGCAGAGGCAAGGCCTGGGGAGGGTAGAGCAGGTTGCAGCACTGACCCCACGACAGTCCACCTTTCCAGCACTGGGCAGTGAGTGAAGAAACTCAGAGAGAGGGTGGGAGGGTGGTGATTTGTCTAGGTTGGGGAGGGGATGGCATTCTGGAGGTGGGGGTGGAGTGGTGTCAGGAGCTGGGTTGTGTGAGTCAGGGATGATGCTGATGAGGGTGGGAGTAAGAGCAGGTGCATCAGGGCGGGAGGGGCTTGGCGCTCAGAAGTGCAATGTCTTCTGGGGGGCAATGGATGCTGTGTTCAAGACTTCTTCTGGCCGAGTGGCTCATGGGATCAATGTTTGCTGGCAAAGTCCAACCAGATCCTTTGCTCCGCACCCTCTGGCCTCCCGTCTTCATGCCTAGCATGGCACTGGGACCATGAGCTGTGAGTTGCTGCAGGCTGG